AGCAATTTGGAAAATAATCTCGCTTGCGCGGTTAAAAATCAAGAATTAAATGATTTTCTAGTATCGCTCGCGTCTAGCATTTCTGTAAAGTATGTACAATATTTTTTTTATAAGCAGTTAAGAAAAATATTTTTTCCAAGTTATAAATATGATACAATTTTACAGAACATGGAGAGAAATATGCGAAGCGTACGCGCAGCAATTAATAAGTCAAGGCAATGTGAGGAAAGCAGTGTCATATTTTCTTTGTCTAGACAAAATTCACGAAGCCATACAAGCATTTTTAAATGCTAATATGTTTAAAGAGGCTTACGTGCTTGCGAGATACAAATTGGACATCACTGATCCGGTTTTAGAAAACATATTAGAATTATGGTCGGAATGGTGTCTTTTGAATGATCAAATGGAGCAAGCTGCTCATTGGTAAAATAATTAATTTTATATAATTATTGATAATTATTATAAATTTTTATATATTATTTAGTAAATAAAATTATATATTGTATAATACTAAATAATTTTACGTTTGTTATATATATTATATATAAGTTTATATAATTTTATCTAACAATTATATATATATATATATATATATATATATGCATATAAATCTACAATAAATATCTATAAATGTATATTCTATATAATATAAAATGTATATATAATATATAAATTTCTTTCATACATTAATGTATAATATATATTACATATATAAATATCTCTATACATATAATATATAATGTATTTCGTAATTAACAATTACTTATGCAATTTGTGCGGCAACATAATAATATTGTTTTACATAGCCTATGTAATTAAAAAATTATTATTGTAAATTTAATATTGCATATATTATAGTTATGTAGAGTTGAAACAGTACAAAAAGGCGGCAAAAATTCTTGCTCGCCGGAAAGACATACATTATTGGAGGTAGCGTCTCAATTAGCATTTCTAAACGGTGATGAAGAATATGGAATATCTTTGGTTGTAGACGCGATGATATGTGCTCTTGTCGAATCAGACTGGTCGAAAGCGCGTTCCCTTATCGCGAATTTCCAACAAATTCAGGTAAATTTATATTAAACATATATAGATATAGAATTTATTTACAAATTATCAAACGTAACCTTATAAAATATGAATTATAAAATATAAATTATAAAATATAAATTACAAATTATAAAATATAAATTATAAAATATAAATTATAAAATATAAAATATAAATTATAAAATATGAATTATAAAATATGAATTGTAAAATATAAATTATAAAAATAAAATTATATAACTATGTCTAAATTATTTCTAAATTTATAAAATATTAAATATTTTGTATCATCTGCAGTGTTTAAATGTACATATCGACGTTTATGAAACCATTATGGAGAGCAAATATGGAGAGCAAACTGAGTTTGATTTAATGCAGACGTGGTTGAAGAAAAGCAACGGACTGTTACAAACTCTTCGAATAAAATACTGTTCAGTTAATATGGCTTCTTACTATAACGCCTTGTGCAAGAATAAAAACAGCATCGCTAATTTAAAAAATAAAACAGAAGAAACAATGGTAAAAAGAGAAACAGAAATTAATATGAAAGATATATATTCCATAAATAATACTTTCAACATTATAACAATACTTGTAATTAATTGAAATGACGTTTTCTCAGATGAAATTGAATGTTAGTTATGAAATCGCTAAAGCAGTTACATGCGACGAAGAAGAGACTCGATTGAAACATTTGGCAACAGTATTAGCTGGCGTATTCTATGAGGAAATGGCATGTAAACGCGGAAATGACACAAATAACAAATTTTTCATTTATATTCTCACGATACTAGATAATAGAAAACCAACGGAGAAGGGCAGCATTTATGCGAAAAGCAATTATCCCGTATCTCAAAGTATACGAGCTTACTTATGTATCGGTATTCTGGATTGGATGCTTAATTATTTGGACAAGTTGTTAGCCGAGGAAGAAACACAATTTGTGGATTTACTATTAAATTTGCTTAGCGCTGTCATAAATAAAGCGGTTTTCTCTCATCAAGATCGAATTGATAGACTTATTAACCTGGAGAACCAAATTTCGAATATTTTTTGTTAGTTTTTTCTTTTTTAATTTTGTAATTTGTTATAAATTCATATAGCATATGCGTATTAATTGCATATATAATTATTGATTTGCTAATAATTACATATAGCGTTGATTTGTTCCAATTTAATATTTTTTATTTTTTACATATAATTTACATTTTAAATATTGCAGTGACTTTCAATACTGATGCCGATGAAAATGATATGTATAAGAAAATTGAGGAGGAGATCAATAAACTGAAACTTGAGGAAAAGGTATTCAGAGAGGAACGAGTTTACATACCGAATTCCAAATTTATTTTCGATAAAGCTCGTTCACTTGTTCACAAATTAAGTAATGTTAATCATAATCGATTTTTACATACTTTATCAGAACTGTCTGAACAGTTAAATAGTTAAAAGCAGACGAGATATAATTTATTTGTATCAAGAAAGTTTGTCAAAAAGTTTGAGAATATAACTCAGAAAATACAATATAAATTATAACAAGTCTTATTAGCTCACATGAACTATAAAGTAAAACATGCAAGCAGAAAAATATATTAACGGTTTTACATTTATTAAAAATCATCAAATGTGTTGTTACAAATTATACGTGTAAATTTTTGATTATTCTAAAGTAAAGTTTATAAAAATATATTTCTGTTCATGATTTTTTTGTCAACTTATCATAAATATTTCAAAAATAATGGTAGTCATTGCAAAGCTACCCTGATCTATACGTCATCTATACATATATCCTCTCATACATATTGTATATATATATTTATTCATTTATTGGTAATAATTTTTTATTAAAATAAAAATAATAAATTTAGATTGCAATCTGACTTATTAATGCACTCATTCTAAATTAAATAATATATTAAATAAAAATAATATAATTATATATATAAATATATATATATATATATATAAGTATATTATACATATATAATTAATTTTAATATTTAACAAATAAACGATGCATATATAAAATTTGCGTTACAATTAAAATAAAAAATTGCGGAAAAGTTTTTTTCCGGTATGTTTGCTATTTAAATTCGAGAATATTTTCTTAATCATTTTCGAACAGAACATCGAAGATATGACAATTACGAAATTAAGAGAAATCTCAAATTTAAAATACAATTTAAATTTTCACTAATAACCCGAATGATTAGTGCATCGATTTTAATGAAAACTAACTTTTATTAGTATTTATTAAAATAATTTATTAAAATAAAATAAATTTTAAATTAAAATTTAATTAATTACAATTTAATTAATTTTGATAAAACATCAAAACAAATTTTTGTTCCGCGCAGAATAAATCGATGTCACATAAAAATTAATTTTCAAAATAAATCAAATAAAATTAATTTTCAGTGGAAAATTAAATTTCAAATAAATCAAATAAAATCAATTTTTATTGAGACAATGGCATACTATAGTCCACTCTTGTCAGTTTATTTTAAAGATATGATTTGAAAATCTAATAAATATTGTATACCGAGTGCTTTGCCTTTGCCAAGAAAGACCCAGTCAGCGGAGCTGCATAAAAAACCGTGTTGCAGTAATATTGGTAAAGAATCGTTGCTACCTGGGATACGATGTAACGTCAAAAGATAACCATCCTCCGTCGTTACAACATGAGCTTCTGCGGGATAACCCGCTCTCCTTATCATTTCCAGCTGGAAAAAAGAATCGATAAAAAAGGCGTTCTCAAAACTGAAAATCTAAATATAATATAATTTATGCAATAAAATTCGTACGAATTTATTTTCTAAATAATAGAACCATTTTCTACATTAAATATGCAGAATGCATTTTATTTCTGCATTAAACATCAATATCTAATTACTTAATATGAAAGAAATAACTGTCGCAAAAGTCGGAATAAAATCAGAAAAAGGTCATTAATAATATAACTATCTAAAATATGTCGGATAATTTTTTTTAGAAAATATTATATTTGCATAATTAAGTTAAGAAATAAATAAATGGTCAAAACTTATGTTGTTCGAAATGACGCTGAGGTTTGTTACAAACACTTATTGTTATATATATATATATATATATATATATATATATATATATATATATATATTATTTGTTTGAAGTCTGTAACAATAAACGCGTATTTATATTGGTTGTTTCTTATAATGTAAATATCTGTACATTGTGGTTGTTTGTGACATATATTAATAAATAAATAAATAAATATATATATATATATATATGTATATATATATATATATATATATATATATATATATATATTGTCTACAGTACTTCTCGACTGTTTAATTTGTTGTAATATTACATATACTAATATATATATATATATATATATATATATATATATATATTGTCTACAGTTCTTCTCGACTGTTTAATTTGTTGTAATATTACATATACTAATATATATATATATATAAAGTATTATATACACATGTGAGTATTGCCGTATAACTATTTGTGCGTATTATACGAATACTTGACAAAATAAATAAAAATAATTTCAAAGATAAAATTATATATTTACCTGGATTGCCAAACCAAATGTGTAAGCAGAGTATAATTATTGTCCATATAGTGTTATGTTGTTGTAAAAACATGTAAACCCAATCTGTTTGCAACGCAGATACATATTGCCAACCACTACATTTGTTCATAATATAATGTGTTTTCTTTAGTCTGTCGAAGAATAATAAGTGTGAATTTATAATAAAAATAATTATAATAGAGAATTAATATGATACATTAAAAAATTATAATTTATGATAAATAATAAAAAACATACATAAAAAACTTAACATACCGGCGACTGAATAAGATTTGTATTTATTTGATTCGGTTCCATCCATGATTTTTAAGAGTCAAAACTTATAATAATTTTGTCGAGTACATATTTTATTGATTTTGCGTCTTTTTTGCACCAAAAATTCTTATTAACACGATTATTTCTCCAAATGGATAAATGTTCAGATTGCATGGACAATATTGGATGCTGGAGATATTCATGTTTCAACAACTTTAATATTTCTTGCACGATATTGTCTATAAATTTATCTATATACAACATAGTAATACCCTTATTGGGATGACAATATTGTAATATTACGACAATTAAATACTCCAAATGCTGCGTATGATTGGGTTTTGCTACAATTTTTTTTTATGTAAAGAATGAATATCTTGATACAGATATCGAAATATATTTATGCTATAGTATCTTTCTGTTAAATTGCGTTGGCTGAAAAATGTACATATTGTAAAATTATTACAGAATAATCAATTAAACATAACAATGATTTTTAAAATACATTAAGTCACACACATACCGTAAATCTTGTGTTGATATATATTTCTAGTAAGTTCATCATATAAAATCAACAAATTTAAAGGTTCTTTTGCATGCTTTTTTCCATGCAGATTGAATAATTTTGTAGTATATTTTCTGTGTAGATTACAGTAATAATACATCTGAGACATACGAGACACATCAAGCCAAAAATATTCCGTGCATTTCAATCCGTTTTTTAAATTTTTAATATTTATGTCATCAAATTCAAAGCCTATTTTGTCTTTAAAAAATAGCTGTGCAGTAGGCCATCTAAAATTGAAAACACAAAACACTTTAAAAAATTTTCAAAAATCATACTAAGAAAATTAACTCATCATCCCATATTATATATTCAAATTAAATTGAAGAAACTGATGATGCTCAATGATTCTTACAATTAGATTCCGGAAATTCTAAAATGTTAATAGAGTCTGCAAAAAACGGTAAACGTTTGCGCAAAATACAATTTTAACATACATACATATTTACGTATGCTATATATTTTGATTTGTTTTATACAGTGTTTTATTCCGACAAACTGAAATTTTATGTTTAATAGCGATCTTGTAATGAAGTGTTAAATAATAAGAAAATTTGTCTTCTATTTTATTACTGCATCATAGCGCTATGAAATATGTAATTGATAGTACACATATATAATGGCCGTTCCATAATACAACGTAGTGTCGTAGGCCGTAGTCGTAAGAAATTGACAAACCACAGTCGACTTCGATTATTTCGAAAATAATCAATTGTGTCAATTTCTTTCTATTACCTACAATACTTCATTATAGAACGGCCTTAAAGGCCATAAGTCGACACAATATCTGCAAAAATTTTGCGAATTTAAAAAGGCTCGGTATAAATATGTTTCAAAATATCTTAAATTCATTTAGATATATTTTAAATGTCGGAATATTATTTTAAATTATTCAAAAAGGCAATATTTTGCGTAAAGTTATTTAAATATATTTTTCGCCAAGTTCTTGCAAAGTTTCTTTATATGTGATGAGTCCATCAAGTAAAATAACAAAAAAGTTTATACATAAAGAAACTTACCTCTAAGCATATTTTTTCTTCCAGAGAGTTTTATAATGGGATATCCACTGAAATTTCTTGCACGTGGAACTAAAATTCTTAACGTCGCTCAAACTAATGGTTTCGTTTTCTAGAATACATAATATATAATTTCGTTAGATAAATCCTGTATCGTGATCATTATATAATAATATAAAAATAACTTGCAATTTTAATTTTAACAAATCAAATGATATTCTATGTACCAATCTCGCTTTGTAGAAAGCACGTGGCTTACTGCGTCGTGAACTGCCGTAAACTGGGAATGACAAAATGTTTCGGGAAGAGAAATAGGGAAGGGGAGGGGATAAAATAAAAATATAATATATATATTTCTTTTATTTTTCACTCGAGTTTCAGTTTCCACTATGATCTTTCTTGGACTTGACCCGGAGGTTTTTTATTTATTCTCAAAATTATCTTCTTTTCTATGTGTTTTGATAAGTGCATAACCATAATAATTGTATACTAAAAATCATATTTTTTCTGTTCTTGTTCCATTGGCGAGATCTGACAAAGGGACACATATTCTAAAGGTAAAAGATAAAGGTTGCAATAAAAGTGAAACTATGACGAATAGTATACAGTAGTTACTTTGTATTGGCTAGGATTCTTTTCTTTGTTCCCCCAACTCGTCTCTCGAAGCATTTTGGTCATTTCCAGTCTATGGCTGTCCACGATGCAGTAAACCACGTGCTTTCTACAAAGCGGAGTTGGTGCATAGAATATCATTCGATTCGTTAAGATAAAAACTGCAAGTTATTTTTATATTATTATATAATGATCACGATACAGGATTTGTCTAACAAAATTATATTAAGTATTCTGGAAAACGAAACCATTAGTTTGAGCGACGTTAAGAATTTTAGTTCCACGTGCATGAAATTTCAGTGGATATCTCACTATGAAACTCTCTGGAAGAAAAAATATGCTCAGAGGTAAGTTTCTTTATGTATGAACTTTTTTGTTATTTTACTTGATGGACACATTATATAAAAAGGAACTTTGCAAAAACCTGGCGAAAAATATATTTAAATAACTTTACGCAAAATACTGCCTTTTTGAAGAATTAAATAATAATATTCTGACATTTAAAATATATCTAAATGAATTTATAAGATATTTTAAAATTTATTTATACCTAGCCTTTTTAAATTTGCAAAATTTTTGCAGGTATTGTGTTGTTTTAAAACATGACTTGATTAGACTTTCTGAATAAAATTGTGCAAATTAAAAAAATTGCAGCTGAAAGTTATAAAGAAAAAAGTTTGTTTAGCATTAAAAGATTTATGAAAGACGATCTACACTTCATTCCTCTCAGCCAATAGAGCCACACGCGATGTTATTGCGACAATTAAGAAAGAAAGAAAATTTGGAAACTAAGGAATTTGTATCCTATGGTTGGGATCTCAGAAATTCCTCTTTGTTCCTTCTCCTAACTTCCCCTGTAAAGAAATTCTTACAGGAGAAGTTAGGAGAAGGAACAAAGAGGAATTTCTGAGATCCCAACCATAGAATACAAATTCCTTAGTTTCCAAATTTTCTTTCTTTCTTAATTGTCGCAATAACATCGCGTGTGGCTCTATTGACTGAGAGGAATGAAGTGTAGATCGTAATTTAAAAATAAAAAAGCCGACTTAATATTCTTATTATTGTTTCGATTTATGAAAGATTTTCACTTTTATAAAAAACTATTTTTGAAGAAATAATTTTTTGGTGTATAAGAATAATTGTAAGAATAAATTTTTGTTATAATAAGAATAATTTTTTGTTATATTATCGATATCTACTCGTGCAATGATAAGAATAATAATATAACTGTTAATAAGATATAAATTTAATAAGGTAATAATTTTAATAGAGTATAACAATATAATTCAGAAACAAACTCGAAAACTTAAAAAATAATTATTTTATACAAAAAAGTATACATTTTAATTATAACTCCATCAGTAGAGAAATTTCTAAGCTCGCATCTAGAATTTCACACATGCAAAAAAGTTTCCCTGTTAGCGCTTTAAATTATTCTTCTGTACCCATCGAAATAAAGTGTTTTCATTTCTTCCATTTGTCACGTGTGTACGATAAAAATAACTTACAATTAATAAAAAAATACATTTCTTGAATTCTTTAAATATCGTAATTTATTTTTAGCGCGACGAATCGTACAATAATCAATGAATAAACACACGTATTTTAAAAATTTCAAACTATCAATAATGGTTCGAGAGAGAAAGAAAATCGCGCCGCGCGGGCTTACTTATATATATACTACCCATATTTGAAGAATTGCAAGAAAGTTTCGTGTGTATGAAATTAGCCTCTTAATTTTTAATTTTTAATGTTTTTATAGTTGTTCCAGATTGTTCTATGTTTGTTCTACATTGTTCCAGAGTTATAAATGTAAACCCCAAAAAACAAAAGAACAAACGCAAAAAAACGGTTTTTTTTAACGGCCCCTCATTTTTGAAAAATCCAATTTTTGTTGTTGTTCTGGAATATGTTCTAGTTGTTCTAAACATTGTTTTAAAGTACAAATTCTCCGAAAGATGTATTTACAAAGATATAGCAAAAAATGTTTTTTTTATAGTGGCCCCCCATTTTTTGGTATTTCATTAATAACTGTTAGATTAAATACGCTAACAGAATACTTTCTCCTAAAAATAAAGAAACACTCAATTAGGAATGAATAATCTGTATGCCAGAGCAGATTTGAGAATGTAAGAATTAATTATTAAGAGGGCGATTTTCAAATGTAATTACTTAATTACTACTAAATAAATATTACAGCTCAATAATCGACTTTATAATATTTTTGGAGAGAACTCACTGAGAGAATTCTCTTTAATACAATATAAACAACAATTATGTAAATTATTGGTAACCTAACATTTGTAATGTATATATAAAACCTTTAAAAAAAGGTAAAAAAAGGCGACCAGTTAAGGGCACGCCATTAACAAAAATTATCCATTGCAAACCCATGTAGAATCCTATCCTATTGCAAACCCATGTAGAATCCTATGAAAAATTAATCATTGCAAACCCATGTAGAATCCTAGGCAAAATTAACCATTGCAAACCCATGTAGAATCGTACCCATTGCAAACCTATGTAGAATCCTATGAAAAATTAACCATTGCAAACTCATGTAGAATCCTATGAAAAATTAACCATTGCAAACCCATGTAGAATTGTATTAAAAATTATCCATTGCAAACTTATGTAGAATCCTACATTGCAAACCCATGTACAATAGAATTGTATGAAAAATTATCGATTATAAACCCATGTACAATCGTAACAAAAGTAATGAAATAAAAAAAAATTGCGCCAAGTGAAAGTAGAAACTTGTACCAGTGGAAAATTAAAGTTGCAGACATATATAGAGTCGTATAATGAATCAGTAAAAATTTAAATTTGCAAATGTAGAATCGTACCATAAAAAAACTTATCTTTTAAAAAAAAGATAAACAAGATGCCAAGTCCATGCGCCATGTGAAAAAGAAATAAAAAAATTTTAGTTAAAAAAACTGGGCGCGCTGCTAAGTTTCCAAATTACAATGCACCTTAAAGTAACATTAATTAATTTAAACACAAAACATATTTTAACTGTAATGAGTTTAAAAGTAACAATTTAATTTTAATATTGTTAGAATATTATTTAGCAGCGCTCCCAGTTTTTTTAACTAAAATTTTTTTATTTCTTTTTTACATGGCGCATGGACTTGGCATCTTGTTTATCTTTTCTTTTTTAAAAGATAAGTTTTTTTATGGTACGATTCTACATTTGCAAATTTAAATTTTTACTGATTCATTATACGACTCTATATATGTCTGCAACTTTAATTTTCCACTGGTACAAGTTTCTACTTTCACTTGGCGCAATTTTTTTTTTATTTCATTACTTTTGTTACGATTGTACATGGGTTTATAATCGATAATTTTTCATACAATTCTATTGTACATGGGTTTGCAATGTAGGATTCTACATAAGTTTGCAATGGATAATTTTAATACAATTCTACATGGGTTTGCAATGGTTAATTTTTCATAAGATTCTACATGAGTTTGCAATGGTTAATTTTTCATAGGATTCTACATAGGTTTGCAATGGTTAATTTTGCCTAGGATTCTACATGGGTTTGCAATGATTAATTTTTCATAGGATTCTACATGGGTTTGCAATAGGATAGGATTCTACATGGGTTTGCAATGGATAATTTTTGTTAATGGCGTGCCCTTAACTGGTCGCCTTTTTTTACCTTTTTTTAAAGGTGAGTTTTTAGAGATATTATTAACATGAATTATAATATGGATTAAAATGACGTTAGAATTTTAGATTGTGAAAGCAATTATTACAAAAGATTAATATCAGAAACAATACACATTAAACAACAAAAAAACAGTTTGAATCTTATAAATGATATTGCTTTATTGGACAAGACATATTTCCCGATTTTAGACAAAATAAACGAAATATAAATAAATTTCACCTTTTTCTAAATAATATATATAAAGCTCATGAGAGACATACTGCGTATACAATCAGCCTAAAAGTCGATAAAGAATAACACATTATAATGGAGATCGAGGCAAATAATAAAAATATAAAAGTGTATTTTTTTATTATAGAGAAAATTATCAGACTATTAATAAATATTTATATATATATATATATATATATATATAATCAAACACAATAAAATAAAACATAGTATTACGAAAATCGCGAAAATATTTTTCGTCAAATTTTTTGAACAGTTCCTGTTTATGTGATGACTTAATCAAGTAAAATAACAAAAAGTTAGAACTAACCAATCTCCATTGTGACTGTTATAATTTTTAGTTATAATTGTATAATCTTTGCTATCAATGCTAAGCAATTATTGCTGTTTTAACTATCAATTTTGCTGCAGAAGTCATATTATACTAACTCCAGAATCATAATTACACCAAGCAAATATTTTAAAAATATGGAAGATATAAAAAATGTTTCAGACAATAATTTTATGGCTTCGAAAGGAACATACCATGTCTCTTCGAAGCCATTAAATTTTTGTCTGAAACATTTATTCATATCTTCCATACCTTTTAAAATATTTGCCTAGAACAATTAAAGTGAATCATCCTGTACATAGTGTAGAAATTTATGTTTATTAACTAAAATAAAAATATCATATTGCTATAAATATAATTTTATTAGAATCACAATCACAACCATTTTCACTATCCGTATCCGAGTAATGACTA